GGCGAGCGGCCGCCGGGGGAGGTCGAGGATGTCGTTTCTCGGACCAGCCCCGCCGGGAACTAGTTGTGACATCACGCACACAACGGGCCCATGGTAAGATGAGCTTGGGCGTTGATATTGAGATTTAACATCTGAAAAGGGGGCGGAGTAGTCCCGTTCGTACCAGGGGATTGGCGTTGGTATCAAAGGTGGGTAATTTTTCATCGAACAAACTTTCCAGCCGTCCCGACGGGTTTTGACGTACGAACGGGGTCTCGGCGACGGGTCCCTGGAGAACCGCTGTTGTTGGCCCAATCCGCGTCCAAGGCAGCACCTAAACCAATACCAGCATTCACGCGGTATGTTTGAGTGAGTTCTTGGGTTTGATAACAGCGGTGTATTACGGTATTTCTTGGCTGCGTAAAGTTGTGAATTAAAGCGCTATTCGCACATGCGCCGGAGCGGGAGAAATGCAAAATAGCGAATGCGAAGAAAGGTGCTGGGGTGAGGTTACTGTTTGCCTGCTGTTTGCTCTTCCTACCCCAGTCCAGACTACTGCGGCATAGCCAGAAGCTACTTCACGCCACCATCGCCGGCCTTCCGATCTAGGCTTGGCCCTACTTTTTTGTTGTCTTCCTGAATGAGGCAGACTTGCCTCGCTCGGGAATATTCCCGTCCAGGGCTGGGAGGGAAGCTAATCCCAGGTCCAATTGGCGCGGGCGCGATCGTAATCAGCCCTGTACGACCGTTTATTGGGGCGGAGGCTTGGAGCTGATCGCGCCCAGACTGACGATGTTTGTGTGGGGGAAGAACAAGGGGTCGTTTGGTCGGGGGGCCGGGCGGAACTCCACGGACTAGAGACGATGCGGTGTGGTGTGCCTTTTACCAGCAAACCACATGTTCGCGAGAAAGGAAAGTCGGGGTGTTGTGGCACAAGAAAATCCAGCAAACAGCGCGCATCTGATCGTTGAGGGGGGAGAAATACCTAGCGCTCTCCAGGGATGGGCATGTTACATCACTCCTCTCCGCCCCCCTCTTCTCATGTTCCCCGTCCTCTCGCCTCGGCAGATGGCTCCCCAGCTCCTCCGGTGTGGATATAATGGGCGACGGCTCCGTGTTCTTTTTTTCTGATTACTACATGATGCCGAGGGAAACGTCGCATTTCCAAAGGTTGGGAACGTTCTTTTAGGCTTTTTATAAACCTGAGGGAAAAGTAGTTAGCCTTTCCCCTTAGCCTGCCTGTTTTCCTACCTTTAGCCTTTGTCGTCTGATGATATATCCTATTTCCATCGGACACCCCGGCACGGACGTTTAGGAACGTCAGCGCAACTGACGGCGATTCAAAAGAGCTGGAGAAGGTCCGTTGAGGGGTAGGTGCTGGATTTAAAAGACTGCTTCAGCACATCTCGTGAACCAGTGAGCTCACATCGGGATCAGCGAAACGACTTCATCATGGCGCGAGAGTACCTCTACCTGGCCTCGTCGGCCGTCCTGGGGACATACGTGCTCTGGACCGCCGCCGAGACATACCTCGCCCACAGCGGCAGACCGCAACTCTCACCCTCTCACGCGCTCGCATCCCCCCTCCTCGCGGCGCTCTTCACCCTCCCGACGCTGGTGCTCTACCGCAAAGCGAGCTACCTGCTCAAGATGAAGGCGCGCGGCTGCGCCGAGGCGCCGAGCTTCCCGCACACGGACCCGATCTTCGGCAGCGACTGGGTGCGCGCGTCGATGGCCAAGCAGGAGGAGCACGGGCTGCTGGAGTGGTGGGAGACGGTGTTCGACCGGCTGGGGTGGACGTGGTGGGTCAAGACGCCGGTGACGTGGGTGCTGATGACGACGGAGCCGGAGAACCTCAAGACGATACTGGCGTCGGGGTTCCAGGACTGGCCTATCATGGGCCCGCGGCGGGACGTGATTGCGCCGATTCTGGGGGAAGAGGCCATCTTTGCGGCGAACGGGCAGGCGTGGCATGACGCGCGCGCGATGATGAGGCCTACATTTGTGAGGAACCAGATTGCGGATTTGGCGCGCTTTGAGAGGCATGTTGGGAATCTGATCAAGAGGATTCCGAAGGATGGGCAGACGGTGGATTTGCAGGGTCTTTTGTACATGATGACAATGGACTCGGCGACGGATTTCATGTGAGTTACTTGGGGGGGGGGGGGGTTTGTGGATCGCAAGACTGATGCGACAACAGGTTTGGCCAGTCTACGTCTATGCTCACGACACCATCGGCTGAGGCATCCGAGTTCACGGCCACGTTCGAATACATCCTCACCCGTTCAGCCATCCGCTCCCGCTTGGGTCTGTTCACCTTCCTGGATCGGGACAATAAGTGGGATGAGGGGCTGAAGATCATCGACAACTATTGCGACAACTACATCAAGCGTGTGAAGGCCGAAGAGAAGGACCCCGAAAGAGCTTACGTGTTTCTGCACCAAATGATGGACCAGGGTACTACCCCAGAGTTCGTCCGCGGGCAGCTGCTTTCCATGATTCTCGCGGGTCGCGACACCACGGCATCGACGCTCTCCGCGCTCTTCTGGATCTTGGCACGAAGACCCGAGGTGGTAGCCCGCTTGAGAGACGAGATCAAACTGGAGCTCGGTGAGCGCCAGCCGACGTGGGAGGAGATGAAGGATATGAAGTACCTCAACATGGTGTTGAAGGAGAGTGAGTGATGCCAAGATTGAATGGACGTTCAGAAAGCTGACGACGACGACCAAAGTTCTGCGGCTGTACCCGACAGTTGCGACCATGTCGCGCGGCGCAGCACGAGATACCACCCTCCCAGTTGGCGGTGGGCCCGACGGCAAATCCCCCGTGTTCGTTCCGAAGGGGACACTCGTACGTTGGTCCATGTACATCACCCATCGGAGAAAGGATATCTGGGGTGAGGATGCCGACGAGTTTCGCCCTGAGCGTTGGGAGGATCGTCGCCCGGGGTGAGTTACGTCCCTTCTTATCGTCGATGATCCATTCGCTGTCTCGAGAATTGAGTGCTGACGCGCGTGCAGTTGGGATTACCTGCCCTTTTCTGGTGGTCCAAGAATTTGTATTGGCCAGCAATTCGCTCTGACGCAGATGGCATACTTTGTTGTGAGAGTCTTGCAGACGTTCAAGACGATTGGGCCGAGGGATGAGAGGCGGTTGGCTCAAACCGTGGGCATCACGACCAAGCTGCCGCATGATGTTCTCCTAAGCTTCACACCCGCGTGAAGCAAGCTTTGTAGATCTTTGAACACGTTATAATGATAGATACGGCGTTTGACCCCACACTCGGCATGATGAATGGCGGATCGCTCCCCGATCGAGATGGCAGCGGCTGGCTGCGCCTTCTTCGCATAAGTGTAGTGGGCTGCCTGGTCCTGGGACAGACAGCCTGTTAGACCTAAGTCGAACTTCTTCAGTGGCTTGCTTCCCGCGTGCGAGGCTTGCAGTAACAGAACCTCGACGGGACTGACGTTACACAATGGTATGCAAGCAGCATATGTGCGTCCCATCTCGGCATGCAGCCGTCGATTCGTGATGCGGCACCACCCCAGACAGCTTGTACATGGTTGGTCGGTGACATGCGGGATCTTCGCGCTCATCTCATGGATCGGAGTCAGGTGGAACAATCCCATATTGATGTCTTCTGGAAGCAAGAACATGTCGCTCCAAAGCCAGGGGACCGTCCCTGGAATCCCTGGTTACTAAGATCAATCTATGTCGTGTCTCGGCCCCCAGCCAAGACAATCGTTCGAGACTGAACCCGACCGCCATAACTTCATCGTCGCTGCCGTGAAGTGGTCTTTCATGAACGACGGGAAGGTTGACGTCTGACGCGGACGGGGAACGGCTGGCTCGTGCAAGGCTGGGTAGCCAGTTGTGTGCCATTGCGCGACAAGAATCGAGCTGGGAGAGACGACAAACGGATGGAGGTTTCGGTGGGAGGGCAGAGTCCAACCAGTCGGTGGCACTGGGTTTCCGATGCGTGTAGCCGACTCGACAACGTCCAGACCTCGTCTTCCGTTGGGCAATCAGTCTGAGATTGCGTGGTCTGGGAAAAAGAAATATGGCCGCTAGCCGTTTCGACGAGTGAAACGATCTTCATTTTGTTATTGCCTGGCCCCATTGTATTAGTCACCGGGTGCTGAGAAGATGCTTTTGCAGTGTTTGCTTTCCGTTTGGTCGACTCGTATGTTGGTCGGTGATTGTGTTTGTGAGCAGTTTTGAGTTGAGCACAGTGCTCAGATACATCAGTCGGGGACAAGTTGAGAGTCGTATTTGCAGATGGACACTCGAGCTCGAGGACCAGCGCAGTTGCCGATTGAAAAGATTCGTGAGCGGGATTGAAGCTTCGGGTCTAGGAAAGAAGACGATGCATGTCTCTCGATGACCGCCTTGGGAAGCAGACCTTCCCCTTCGAGGTTGGGCCCTTCCCCATCTCGCTTGCTAGGCGTGTCTCTCATCGGGAAGGCAGGCAAAAGACAGCCAGGCCGGCAGCGCAGGGCAGCGCAGGTGCGTCTGCCAGGAAAGAGGGCAACGGGCCATCGCGGCTACCCGCATGGCGCAGGCCAAGGTGGGAAGGTTTAACAGACACCAGAACTGCAAGAGCTTCAGGTTGTCCCAAGAAGAAGGAAGCACGGCTTCCCGCACGGCATCTTTGTGGAGACAAGAGACACCATCGCCGTTGGCTGCTTCCTGATCTTCCACGTTGAATGCATGGTATCCGTACCTCGGGCTCTCCTTCTCTCCCTTGGCACCGTCTTGCTGCTTGCTGACCTGATTGCTTCCTTGCTTCCTTGCTTGATTGCTTGCCTCGAATGGCCACCGCTCTTTCGTATTTCATCTCCCCCAGTCCCGACACTCTGGTTCTCTCCTGTTCGCATAGCCGCGCTCTTGACCATCGTCGACCTTGCTCCTCGACCGGGCATCATCGCTTTCACGAATGATCTGAAGCGCCCGAAGCCACGAAAGCTTGACTCGATATCTCCATCGAATGTAACAACAGACTCTCGTCTACAAGTCCCGACATGTCTTTCTTCCAAGGAGACTCCCGTCCTGGCGAGCAGCCTGCGCCTCCTCCGCGAGCCCTGACTCCTGTCGAGGTTGGAGTCATCATCGGCACCATCACCGTCTTCTTCGCCGCCATCGGCTCTCTCTTCTATTACCGCAACCGAAAGGCCAAGAAGCGTCGTTCCAGCAACGCACAACCACCATACAGGAACGACCACCCCGACACAGGCCAGGCCAAAAGCGACGGCGGATCGTCTCGAGAGGCAGAAATCGCGGACCTCGAGATACCGCCTCCCACGAGGAAAAAGAGAGCATGGAATGACTTTGGCTCTGGGAGGGAGTATGAGGGTGACCGTAAGTCAACCTCGAATCAGGCCGTGCCACATACTAACGATGACACAGTTGAGAGGGGAGAGGCATACGAGATGCGTGGCAAGGCCTAGAACTTTGTCATTGCAAGAAGTGCAGATATTGCAGAACCAAAAGCCCGCATCGAATGTGGACGCGGAATGTGAAGGGACAGCCGGTGCTGGCTTGAACATGATGTTGCGGAGAGTCTTAACTTAGGCCTGGTTTGGGGGAGCATTTGCGATTCGTCTCTGGTATCAGCACCTCTTGCACATAGCTGGCGTTAATTTGTTGCACCAAATTTCCTGCTCACTGGGGTGAAATAATACTCAATATCCTCAAATGCATTCGAGAAATCCTGCAGTGAAGGAGATGTACATGCCCCGGCGGAATGATTCGCATGGAACCTGGTGAAAAGCTAACTGTGCTCGTATTGAAATATAGGACACTTAGTCCCGGGAAGGTTTATTGTCGTCATTCCCTAAGCCCACACTGCATCACGAGAGAAACCAAAGTAAATAGACATTCTGAACCGCTTCGTGATCTTACCTAAACGCCGCGGATGCTACCCAACCCATTCGTCCCATGATCTACCAGGAAAGAAAAAGAGGAAATAACGTTGTCCTTCGTAATGCTGCTATTGCTGACCAGGCTTGGGCATGTAGCGACTCCTGAACGCTTGGCTGATGCTGAACCTGCTTCCTATGGCGCCGTCTTGCATCTTACTCGCGAGGGCCTCCTCCAAAGCGGACTGCGTCACTGATGCGTCTGCACACACCGTCAGCTACAAAACCCCAAGAAATTCATCGCGCGTGCGGGGAGAAAACATACCGTCCAAGTCGCTGAAACTGCTACCCATGCTAGGCGTGCCGTCGCTCCCGTCCCGGGAGTATCCCTTGCCCTTCGAGCTGGGACTCTTCCCAGACAGCTCGGCGGCGCGGCGCGGGGACAGAGGGCCACCGCCACCTCCAGCAGCCGGGCGACGATGATCGCTGGTCGCGGAGCTGCGCGAGATGAGCGCCGGCGAGCTGGTCGACGAGTCCGACGTCTCGGAGTGATGGATCCTCTCCTTGCCCTTCGGGGTCCGCCGGGCGTTCCGGGGGTCGCCGCGCAGCGTGGAGCCCATGTCCTGCGCCGACGAGGCGTTGGAGGCGGGCTGCGGCTTGTACTGCAGGAACGCGGGCTCGGCGTCGTCGTCGTCCTCGTCGTCGAGGTTGACGCCGCCGTCGCGCTGCTGCTGGAAGCGGGGCGGGCGGCGGATGATGCGCGACTGCGCGGGGCTGGACTCGTCGTCCGAGGAGGCCGGGGAGCTGGACTCGTCCGGGGGCGAGGCGGGCTCCGGGCTGCGGGGCGTGCTCTGGATCGGCAGGGAGGAGAGGCGGCGGCGCTGCTGCTGGCCGTCGTTGGATGGCCGCGAGGTGGTGGACGGCTTGGTGGTGGCTCCTGGGCGGGCGGTCGATGTGCCTTCGCCGCCGAGGTTGCGGGTTATGGTGCCGGCGGAGCCGTTGCGGGAGAGGTTCGGGCGGAGGGAGGTGGTTATCGGGGTCGCGGGTGTGCTGGCATCGTTTCGGGGGAGGGGGGAGTCGCGGCGGATGGAGAGGGCTGATATCGTGCGCTGGTGGGAGTGCGGTTCGGCGCCGGGGATCGGGGAGGGTGCCGCGGAGCCTTTGGCGGCGGCTGTTGCCTTGCGGACCTGGGCGCGGAGTTGGGCGGTGTGTCGTTCGGTGAGGTAGGCTACTTGCTGGAGGAGGAAGTCGACGGTCACGTCGAAATGGGCAGCTCTGGGAGACGGGTGAGCTTTGATGGGGGAAGTCCATGTTCGGCGGGAGACTTACAGTTCGTTCCCTGGATCAAGAAGGGTCAGCAATGCCAATAGAAGGGAGCTATCGAGACTTACAGTCAATTTCCGTCTTGGCTGCGCCGGAGAGGATGTTCCATAGCACATCGTCCTTTGTGGAATCCCAGGTGACCTGCGCAGGTGGCATCGCATCAGCATCTCAGCCCCGCGACGAAGAGCCATCGGGGGGGACGGCGTCGACGGGGGAAACCTACCGGAGGGGGATCCGTGAACTCGCCCCGGAGGATGGGCAGCCGGACGAAGACTGTGTAGTTAGGGTCAGTCATGCCGTACGTGTGTTCGTCATGCTTGCTGGCGTAGCTCGGGATGGTGACAGCCTTGGGGAGCTTGGAAGGAGCGCGACCGCGGGAACGAGGATGACGGAAGTGGTTTAACTCGTCGTTCCTTATCGGAGCTGCGGCAGCGATAACGGGTGCCGGATGGCACGGCCGCTGACGGCTGGCACCGGTGTGCATGGGGGGCTGGTGCTTGGGCCATTGTTCGGGAGCCCGTTGGCTGCGGTTTCGTCCTCACCCTCTCAACCTCTTGCTGACCAAGGATGAACCTTCTTCAGAGTCACGCCATGCGATGGTGAGTTGTCAGGAAGGTAGCAAAGATAACCCAATGCCGTCTAAAGCCCGCATCTTCTCGAACGCTCTCTCCATGGCTTCACCCTGAATCGCCCAACCCCGCCCAGGAAGCCCCAAACCTTCGCAACCGGTGCGTGTCATCATCTACACCGCACCTTCGTGAGGATGATGGGCCAATGTCATTGGACGACAAGGCGAGGCTTTCCGAGACTGGGTCGCACCCTGTAGACCACGTTTGCCCGTGTGTCTTGAGGCTGAGACGCATGAAGGCCTTTTGATTCAGCCAACACGTTGGTTGGACCGATTTACTTGTGATAGAATGAACTAGTTGATGGTAGAGAAATCGTGTGTTGGGAACGCAAGTTCCGTAGGAGCAATTGGGTTTAAGTTATACTTCAGACTCAGTTTATTCAACTGCGCTGATTAACCGTACAGCAAATGGGTGCTAGACCAACAGAATGAAGGTCGAACACAGGCGGAAGGTCTGTCTTGCCAATCAAGAAGGCGTCTTCTACTGCTGCGGTGATGACAACAACTTTGAAAAGCCGACAAAGGACACAAGAACCTTTCAAGACTTGAGCTGTAAGTTTCACTCGACGGCTAGACCCACCATAGCAAGTTGAAAGTCTCCAAACTTCCTCGCCAGCCCTGTCTGACTCCCGCCAGTCGTCGCCGACTATTGAAGACCATCTCAGTGCTGGTGATCCACATGAATCAATCCGATATGGTGTAGTGGCCAACATGATGCCCTCTCATCTTGTGAGAGGTTAGGCATAGCCCCGAGTTCGATTCTCGGTTTCGGAACATTTTTGACTCATGTTGAAGAAAAGGGAAATGTTCATTTTTGATATCTTTTGTCATCCATCAAACTTGGACGCTGCCTTCCGACATCGAATGCAACCGTTTTGTGAAAATGCCTGAAGAACCCATTCTTGATCGCGTACAAACATGAAAAAATGCTATTGACCTAAGCCGCCCCAACGTCCCCCACCAGTACTCAAATACATCACTAAGAATCTCAAGAAGAATCCATACGCAATGTCCCAGATTAAGCCTCAAGGGCCTTTCGGAGCGCCGCCTCATTGCGAGGGGTGAAGGAAACAGTGTAAGGCTTGGGCGCAAGCACCAAGTTTCTCTTGTCGTCGACGCCGGTGAGAGGGCTCGAGTCGATGACCTCGGTCGTGGAGATCTTGAAGCTGGCCAGCATGCGCATGAAGGTCAGGTAAAGCTCGCGGTTGGCAAGCAGAGTGCCCGCGCACATACGATAGCCCATGCCGTAGGTGAACATCGGGGCCTCGGGGTTCTCCAGCCAGCGCTCGGGGCGGAAGACCTCGGGATCGTCCCAGACCTCGGTATCTATAATATCATGTCAGACGTTGAATTCGAAATGAGCAAGACCAGAAGAGGGAAGCCTACCCATGTTGCAAGCCCAGGAGTTGAGGAACACAACGGTGCCCTTGGGGATGACTTTGCCCTCGAAGACGAAATCCTTGTTCGTTGCGCGGGGAAGAGAAAGGCGGAGGACGGTGAAGTATCTGTCAAGGGTCAGACTCAGAAATTCATCTCAGCTCAGGGGAAAGCAAGACTCACCTCAAACTCTCACGGACCAGAGCTCTGATGTAGGGAATAGACTGGTCGTCGTTGGCGTCACAAAGAGGGTTGTTCACGTCGTAAACCTCCTTAATCGCGTCAAAGGCCTTCTGCTGGATCTCGGGGTGCTGCGCCAGGAAGCCAATCGCCCAAGTCGTAACCGTCGAGAACGTCTCAAACCCAGCGGACAGCATGGTCAAGCTGATCGACACCAGCTCGACATCGTTCAGCTTCGCCTCCTCGTCGAGCATGACGTTGGCTTGGATGCAGGGCTCGTAGGTGCCGTTGGCGACCTTCTCCTTGAGGTCGTTGTTGAGCTTGGAGAGGTAGATGTCGCGGCGGCCGCGCATGCCGAGCGCGGCGCGGGTGCCCGCCGAGAAGGGGTTCCAGCGCATGAGGGGGATGTAGTCCTGGAGGTTGTCGGTGACGCTGCGGAAGCGGCTGATATTGACCTCGACGTCGATGATCTCCTTGAACAGGGGGTCCTCGTGGCTGGGGAAGCGGAAGCCCCAGTTGAGGGTGACGGCCAGGGACAGGCTGAGGCGCTGGACCAGGGGCATGGGGTTCACGGGCAGCTTGCCCGCCTTGCCGTAGTTGAGGGCGTCCTTGAGGAACTCCTTGGTCTCGAGGTCCAGGTGGGGGATGTACGTCTTGATGGCGGGCAGGTTGAGGGCTGAGGCAGCGCCCTTTCTGCGGCGCTTGAGGGACTCATTGTATGGTGAAGTGCCGATGGTCGTGCCAGCGGTGTTGGCCACGATCTTTCACAGTGTAAGCATGGGGGCGCGCTTGATTATGGGTATGAGATGAAATACCTTGTGGAAAGTGTAGAGCTCTGGGCGTGACGCAATTGCTTGTGAGTTGTGACCGAGAATCACCTTCGCCGCAGCGGCGCTGTTGATGACCAAAACGGGAATGTTGCCAAGCTGGACTTGGAACACCGAACCAAACTCCTTCGCCCACTCCCTGTACTTCTCCGCAGCGTCATGTCTGACCTGCCACAGGTTTCCAATGAGGGGAAAGCCTTTTGGTCCGTCAAAGTTGGATAACCGCGCCTTGGAGCGAATGAACTCGTTCGCAA